TGCTCCTTGGAGGCAAGGATTCTGGGGCTTCGTCTGACATACTTTGGACATGTTGTAAGGAGAGACAGGTCTTTAGAGAGTGACATCATGCTGGGTAGAGTAGAGTGGACAGCGCAGGAGGGGAAGACCCTCTATGAGGTGGATTGATTCAGTGACTGGGGTAATCAGGATGGGAGTGTCAGAGACGGTGCAATTGGCACAGGACAGAGCAGGGTTTAGGGCTGTTGTACATAGGGCCGCTATGAGTCACAAACGACTCGACGACTCGACGGCACATAACAACAACAACACCAATCCTAGAGGGCTGGGCTGGGAGGTCCACCCTACACCCTACGGGGCCTCCACAGACAGGGCGTAGAAAGGCCTTTGGAAGTTGACCCCCAGCTGGTGGGGTTAGTTGGCTTTGAGCTGACCCTGAATTACGGAGGTATGTGTTAGGGCCACTCCTTGGGAGTTTAAGGCCAGTGCTGAGGGGGGTTCAGGGCAGACAAGTGGGTCCCCAAGGGCATGGAAAGTAGAGTCAGCAGGGTTTCTGGATGGAGTGACAGAGAGAAGGGAGATTCGGATCATGAATTCTACCTGAGCACTTAGCTGTCGCGCCCCCAGGGCTCTGACCTCTCCCAGGGCCCACCCCTCCCCGTCCCGCTCACCCGTATTTGCTAAGTCTGGGTCTCAGTCTGTGATTGGTGTCCAGGTGGGGAACTGACCTGTGCTTCCACACCTCCTAGGCGCGGCTGGAGCGGGACTTGAGCAACAAGAAGATCTACCAGGAGGAGGAGATGCCCGAGTCAGGCGCTGGCAGTGAGTTCAACCGCAAGCTGCGGGAGGAGGCCCGCAGGAAGAAGTATGGCATCGTCCTCAAGGAGTTCCGGCCCGAGGACCAGCCCTGGTTGCTGCGTGTCAACGGCAAGGCAGGCCGGAGGTCCGCAGGGCGGGGAGCAGGGCTGCAAGGGGTGTCGGTGGGACCGGGCGCGGCCATCGGAGGCAGGGACAGGAGGCAGGCCACTGGGGCAGGGCCTGGGGCTGTCACGGGACCAACCTGCTGACCACCTGCCTCCCTCCCGTCTGCTGGGGGCCTCCTGGAACCGCAGTTCTCCTCTGGGCGTCAGGGTTACGAGGCTGATTGCTTTTTTTCCCCGTCTCTGGTGTCAATCCGATGTGGGCTCCCTCTGTCCATGTGTCGGCGCCGGCAGCATCCATCCACTGTCGCCTGCACTTCTCTCTGCTGTACGGTTTCTGTCTTCATTCTTACCTCCTGTGTTGTTGGTAGGTGCCCTCTAGCCAGCTCTGACTCCGCAGGGGAAGCCCTGCCGGGTCACACGCCGTCCTCACAGGCGTTGCTGTGTGCCGGCCACTGTGTCCGTGTCCTAAGGGTCCTCTTTCTTACTAGCCCTTTTTAGTAGGTATGGTGACTGGTCCTTCCTGATAAGATGGGTAGCGTTTGTGAGATGACGTCTGTCCTCGGCCGGAGGAGTGCTGTGCCTGTGCTGCCCACGCAGTGCCTGCTCTCCGGCATCCT